TGCCGCTTGTTAAATAGTTATCTTTATTATTATATTAAACATAAGCAGAACATTATTATAATAAATTAGTTTGATTATAATTTTTTGTCCGGTATGGCATGCAAGCAAAAGTTTGAAGTGTTAACTTGTTAGCAAAATGGAACCAATGTAATTTTATTCATGTTCATTCATATTCATATATTAATATATAAATATTTTAGGACAATGATTGTGATAAATGATGATTATAAAAATATATGAATAAGGACTAATTGGATAAGGATTGTGAATAAGTCAGAAGGAATTTACCTAAAAAATATAAAAATATAAATGAAAGACTTGAATTAAAAATAAAAATAAATACAAAACATCAATTTAAAAATATTAAAAAGTTTACAATTAATAAGCACTCATGATCCAATAGGTCGACCTCTTTTTCGTTTTTTTACTTGATTCATTGTACTCATACAATGTTCGCAATACCATCTTCCTTCTGGTACTGCTTTAAGATCAACACAATCCAAATGAAACCATTCAATAGGACAATTCTAAAATATAAATATTGGTATAAAAGTAAGTGAACTGTAATAATAAAATTTTAAGGTATATTGATTTTTTTTACATACTTCACCATCACATCCAATCATTTCACCAAAGCTAACTTGTCGACAAATACAATATACAGGTTCATTAGGGTCAACAGTTTGTATATAATTTGATGAAAATGTGTTGCCATCAGAAATAAACGAAGAATCATATGTTTGTAAATTTAAATTATTGTTATTGATGATATTAAAAATATTACTATTATTAATATTGGAATTGGGGTTGAGACTATTAAGATTAATGTTTCTATCAGGAGAAATCATTGAAGATGATCCTGTTGAATTTAAATGATGAAAATGATTTTTATCACCATCAGAACATTGTATTTTAATAAATTGTGGAAAGCTGTTATTATTGTGGTGTTGAAAGTGGAAGAAGAAGAAGCAGCAGTAATGGGGGAATTCATGGAAGTAGTTGTATTAGTTGTAGAAGTGGTGATTGAGTTAATGTTATTTGTATAGATTGAGATGGTATCTTGGTTATTATTGCTATTTACCCCCCAAAAAACATTATCAATATATATAATATATTTAATAATAATAAATTTTTTAAATAAAATTTTCTATAAATTACAAACATTTGCCTTCTACGTCGTGGTAATGGTTGATTAGGTGACATAGACAAATTCCTTCGATTTAACCCTATCGAATTTTCATATTATCATGATTATTAGGCAATATGGTTAACAAGAAATAATCAAATAATTTTTTCATTCAGTTATCATTTAAGATAATAGTAATGTAATTATTATTACCTCTGCCAATTTGTGCTGTAGAGCTAGAGGGATTTGGTAATAATGGTAATGCTATAGCATAACGTCAATTAGTTTCTAATAATCATTATCAAATTATGTTTATGTAATTACATTATTATTAAGAAAAAGAAGAGAATAAGAACATACAAAATTCTCCTTCTTCTGATTTCATGGAAGGATAATATATTCCATTATTATAGTCATAAGTATTAATGTTAGAGTGTCTAGATATTGATGATGACAAAAATGATGTTGTAGGAAAAGAAGCAATTGTTGATGTTGTTGATTTTATACTTGTATTTGATGGCTGAACAATTGTTTTGTTATCTACTTGAGATGACAATGATATTATATTTACATTTTGAGGAGATGTGTTTAATGATTCAAATGTTGATTCAAAATTTGATAAACAATCACGAAGATTATGTTGAGGAAATAAGCTATCAAGATCTTCATCAAAATGTTTAATATATCTTTCAACCTATAAATAACACAACGCTATTATCATTTAACCAAGAAAGAATAAAAGGATAGACAAATCTTACACATACTAATGCCAAAGCTTTATCTGTAATTTCAATTTTTTCATCTTGCAATTGTGATACTCTTATGTAATCATTCATAACCTTTTCTTTTAACATTTCTTCGTCTTCAAACTCTGTTATAACTTTAACAACTTGATGGATATTGCACCAACTGTAAAACCATCATATTTCTTGCTCTCTCCAATCTTCATATTCTCATCCTCTTTAATGTCCAAAATCACAATCATTTATCCTGCCAGTTGTGTTGATTGGTACAGTTGGTACAGAATTAATTCTCATATAAAGGGGCATGCTCGTAGAGGTAGTGGTGAAATGAGGGAGCAGCATATAGAAGGCATTGCACTTTTGGAATGACTAATAAATATCAATACTCACAAAACTTGTGAGTGGTGTTTTCAACAGACTAAACTTGCACGATTATCAATGGCAAGATCACTAGTGTCAAAGTACATGGTGCTGTTGAGTGTATCAACCCATCATGCATTTCATTTAAATATAGTTACACTATAAAGCCTCTAGATTCTCCTCATTCAGAAACTACCATTGCTATTGCTCATGTATCAAGATTTCTCTCAACTTCTCATTCCACTTTACCACCCTTCTCAAAAACCTATACACATACACGAATCATTAACACGAGTCAATATATATTGGAAAGCATTGCTTCAACACTCAATATCGAAAGGAGTCTCTTCTAATCAGAGAGATTTAACAAAGTAGTTGATAATTGAT